TATGGAAGTGGAGTTTAGAAAGTAATACCACCTGAATAATGAAAATAGGATGTGGAAAATTCAAGAAACTGTGAGGAAGTATCAACACTGAGAGCACATGACATATATGGGGTTAACAACTGACTTTTTACATGGAGGTACATGTCTTACGTTCTACTTCCCTTCAATAGGGGGCTGCACATTGTCATTGCGTCGTTACGGAGTGGAGTGGATTTGGCCGGCGACACCTGTATTATCATTTTTTTAGAAAGCTAGTGTATTTAAATTTTTTTTTCTTTTGCTATGGCTATTGTACTCCCTACCAACTTTAAATTAACATATTGTGAAGGAGTGTTTCAACTGTAGAAAACTTCGAAGAACTGGGACAATTTAATATGCTGACATAGACCTCGGACATTCTATAATGTAGCCAAAAAACGTATTTTTCTTGCCTAAAACTCAAAAAACCCGTGTGCAATAAAGTGCTGAAAGTTTATTTCCAAGTGGAATATCCACCAATCTACATTTTAATGGATATACATGCTTACTGGAATTCTTTATAATAAAAAATGCGATGGCGCTGGACATAAAAAATCAAAAGGTGCCCTTAAATGAGAAAACTTAAACCGCAATAGGACACATGTCTTAGTATAAGTCTCTGTAATTTTCAGTTTGTTGAAGCACGACTAGTCTAATTAATTACTAAATAAATGCGAACCGTATCGCGCATAGGCGCCTATTGCGTGCAGCCGGCTATACGCACGGCTATGGGTGATAGGAAAGGATACTAACTATTATATCTCGCAAACGAGTTGAGTTGCATTTCTAGAAATCATGAGGAATATAGACACATGTCTTAGCTATAATCTCTGTAAATTTTAAGTTTTTGTTGAAGTACGAGTAGCTAGTCTAATTATTACTAAATTATATGCGAACGTATCGCGCATAGGCGGCCTATTGCGTGCACCGGCTTATACGCACGGCTATGGGTGATAGGAAAGGATACTAACTATTATATCTCGCAAACGAGTTGAGTTGCATTTCTAGAAATCATAAGGAATATAGACACATGTCTTAGCTATAATCTCTGTAAATTTTAAGTTTGTTGAAGTACGAGTAGCTAGCTCTAATTAATTACTAAATATATGCAAACGGTATCGCGCATAGGCGGCCTATTGCGTGCACCGGCTATACGCACCAGGCTATGGGTGATAGGAAAGGATACTAACTATTATATCTTGCAAACGAGTTGAGTTACATTTCTAGAAATTATAAGGAATATAGACAAATGTCTTAGCTATAATGTCTGTTAATTTCAGTTTGTTG